CCTAATCTCGTCTGACATTTCGTCTGAATAGTGGACGCTAAATTTCCATATTTCGCTAAAATGGATACCGTTTCACTTTGTTTTTGGCCAACGGCGTTCTATGTTCGGGACAATCACAATAACTTTTAGCAAAATATGTACATTGTATATGTACATACATATATATATGGGGCGTTCCATACCAAAACGGACGGGCTTCAGACTTCATGTGTTTGACTTGTTTCAAATTTTTAATAATAAATAAATATGAAATTTGATCAATACAATTATAAACATAAAAATTTATTGAAAAAAAATAATATTTGAAAAATGTCATCTCAAAAAAAAATTTAAAATAAATCACAATGGTAGGTAGCTTTGAGTATCGCCCAATATTTATGTATAGTATTATGGGGTGCATTCTACAAAAATTTGAGTTATGAAATTTTTTTACTCCTAAGTTGACTCAAACGAGTACATTAAAAATTTACAAATTTTTTAAATATTTTTTAGAATTTGTTTGAGTGTGCAGTTTTGCAGCCCATTCAATTTTAGTATAACAAAGAGAAAGTTTTAAGCGATTGCAAAACTGGCGATTTTTTTTTTTCTTTGAAAACGGTTTTGCGCATTTTCTTCCATAAGAAAAAAGTGCAAAAAGCCGTCAGCATAAAAAATATTAAAAATCAACTTCGGAAAAAAAAATCATTACTCAAATTATTGTAGAGTGCACCCCATAATACTATACTTAAATACTGCGCAATACTCAGAGCTACCACTGTGATTTTTTTTAATTTTATTGAAATGGTATATTTTAATAACTAATTTTTTCTATAAAAAAATGTGTATGTGAAACATTTTTCGAGAAAAAAAATTTAAAAATATTTATTATTATCGAGAGTTTTGATGTGTGTATGTGTGATTTTTTCAAATTTTTTCCTCGCCCCGTTGTCGAGATATTTGGAAAACTATTAAATCGATTTGTTTCTGTGCTGTAAAGTTTTTAAAAATGCATTAAGCAAGGTCCAATTTCATATTTATTTATTATTTATGTATATGCATCAACCCTAAAAATTTTAAACAAATCAAACACCCGTCCGTTTTGGTATGGGATATTAAATAAAAAAAGGAAAATTGTCAAAGCTGTGAATTAAAATAGGGCGCTATTCAACTAGCCGGGACAATAGGTATGTAGCAGGGTATTCAATCCCGAATCGTTTTCACAATCCCGGGATTCCGGGATGCAAAAAATTATAATCCCGGGATTACGGGATTTTTCGGGATTTCGACTTCATCAAAACTTTTGCATTTAACAGAGATTCATTGTTACCGTTTTTGGTTTTACAGAGTCCGTAATTTAATGTCTAAATATTTTTATAGTATTCTTATACATCTACATTAGAAAATGATAAACATAAAAGTAAAACCAAAGATGAGGATGAGGATACCGATAAAAGTAAAGACGAAGATAGGGGAAGAAAGATTAAAAAAAGGTCATTGAAGAGGAAAAGATATAGAGACACAGAGACAATCTGGGAACTATTTTGGGATTTTAGAAATTTTCGGGATTCTCGAGACTTATCGATAAAATAATCCATATTTTTATCGGTTTTGCTATCGATATTTTTATCGATTTTGTTATCGATATTTTTATCAATTTGTTATCGATTTTGTAATCAATATTTTTAACTATTTTTTAAGCGATACTTTTATCGATTTTGTTATCAATACTTAGCGATTTTGTTGTCGATATTTATCGATTATGCTATCGATATTTATCGACTTTGTTATCGATTTGGTTATCGATATTTATAGATTTTGTTATCGATATTTATCGATTTTTTATCGATATTTATAGATTTTGTTATCCATATTTATCGATTTTGTTATCGATATTTATCGATTTGGTTATCGATACTTGTCGATTTTGTTGCCGAATTTATCGATTTTGTTATCGATATTTATCGATTTTGTTATCGATATTTAACGATTTTGTTATCGATATTTATCGATTTTGTTATCGATATTTGTCGATTTTGTTCTCGATTTTTCTACGAATGGCATTATCGATGGTGCCGTTGAAATTTCTATCGAATCTGTCATCGATTTTGCTATCGATTTTTTATCTATCTATCG